CTCAACGGCTAAATAGCCGTTTGAGGTGTGCCCCCCACTTTTTTTTTTTTTACTTTTTGCAGGATTTCAAATGAACAAAAAAAAAAATTAACCGGTACCGGAACCGGACCGGTACCGCCGGAACCGGACCGGTACCGCCGGTACCGGTACCAAAAAATAGGTACTGGAACCGGTACCGAAAGTGGCGGTACCGGTACCGGTTCCCGGAACCGTTGGCACGGCGACGACGCCGGTGACGGTGGCGGGTACCGGCGGTACCGTTGCCGGTGACGGTACCGTACCGGTACCGTGTCCACCCCTAATGGTGACCGTTGCTTTTGATTTGGCACAACGAACGGATTCCGAGTTTCATCAAACGAAATGTCCCGAGAGTTAGGAATGGTGGGCTTCAGCATCGTAGACACGCCACCCTTTCGTTCCTGTGGGATAACCAACGAATACACATTTGGTAAAAACATGGAGTAAATGTATTATGGGTGTTTGGCGGGTAACTGAGAAAAAGCCATACTTCCCAAATTTGTTAATGTTCTTGGGAAAAAACACTCCCAAACTCCAATTTTTGAAAAACCAAATACTCAAACCGACCAAATAGTATCTCTTCTTCGATGAATGTTCTTTCTCAATTTATGCAGGCTCCTCGTTTGGATCACCTCAATACAACTAAGCGTGTGCTTCGTTTTCTCAAGGGACATCTCGCTCAAGGTATTCTTCTCATCTTTTGTGAAGTGATAGTAATCTTCCTCTTCTTGCTTCTTTTGATTCTGATTGAACAAGTTACCTTCTCACACAATGGTCAGTGACTAGGGGAAGGATCGCTTATTTATTGGAAGATAAAAAACAAAGTATTGTGTCTTGTTCTTTTGCTGAAGCCGAATACCGTGCGATGGTTAACGCTTGTTTTGTGGCTCGATGGCTGCAGGGATTATTGGCGGCGTCAGCCGTTCCGTGCGTGGCAACTCTGCACTTGTATAGTGATAACAAGTCTGCCTTATTTATCGTTGTTAAGTCATGCATTTCTTGAACGATCTGAGCATATTGATATTGGTTATCATATTGTTCGCCAATATGTTCAGCGCAAGATCACAATTGATGTGTTCCCTAGCAACTTCAAATTTTTAATTAATTTAGAAAAGCTTTACATGGTCAGATAGTTATCTTGGAAATCTATCTATATAAGTACTCCAAACGTTCGAAACATAATGACTGAAGACAAGTCAGTTTACCCAAAACTCTACAATTACTCGTAGAAGGATGTCCTAGAGAAAGTTCTAATTTTCAAAATGGCCAAAACTAAAAGGTTTTCCTTTTAAATAAAATGAAAAATAAAAAAGAAAAAAATTGATACAGAGGACTGAACCTAGGGGTATATACAAACCGAATCGAATCAAATAACAAAATATTCGATTGAGATTCATTTAGAATGACACGTACTCGAGTTCAGATTCGATAATTATTCAAACCTAAAAAAATGTTCGTATTCGATTTGAGAGCATATTCGATGAAGATGTATTTGAATTCATATTCGAATTTGAAAACAGTAGAGATTTTTTTAACACACAATTCCTAAAAACAAGTAAATGAGACAAGTAAATGAGATAGGGTTAGTTTGGAAAACTAATGGCAATCAATTGTAATCGAACATATACAAATACTATATATGGAGTAATATAATTTTTTTGTTTATTTATATTTTAAAATATTCAAATAACTTGAATTATAAATGAATCGGACCTATTGGTATTCGTATTCGGATTTGACTTAGATTCGAATCTAAAACTAGATTTGTATTCGGATTCAGGTTCGATTTAATCGAATATGAATCATATTTTTCAAATACGAATCACAAATCGAATTAATTATATTCGATTTGTATACACCCATAGCTGGACCTCAAGGAAAACCAAAACTATCCTCTAATCCCTCTATATAGCTATTAATCAGTGTATCTTCATTCTTTCTTTTACTCCACTCAAAAATTAGCAAACTTGGCTTGTTAAAGGGTACAAATGGTATCAAACTAACAAAGATGCTTTCTGCATATTGTTCAGCTGCATGAATAAGAATAAAGAGAAAGGGACTATAAAGAGTACCATACTTTTTTTCTGAATAAAAGTGGAAATATGTGGGAGGCGAATTACGCATCTTCACTCTTCAGTTACACTGGACTTCGACTGCAAATGTCTTGGTCATGTTTTGGCATAATCTCGTACTCAAATTTCTGCTAGATAGTTCTATGGCACACTCACTTTTGTTCATGCAAGCCTGCAAAACAATGGTGATAGCACTCTAAGGTCGCCATCATAACAAATGAGCTGCTAGACATCACTTGGATTGAAAAGCAATCTAAAGCTCATTCATTTGGATTCGTCTTATCTTGCTTATAAGCAGAATGAGTAGCTTTTGATTTACTTATTCGTTTACCAAACACTTTTCTTTCGGAAAAAATAGCATGTTATAGTTGGTGCGAATTTGTTTACAAGAGAAGTTTGAGATATCCATACTGCTTAGCCGACCTTTAAGTTGTATGCTTAGGGACAAATGCTAGGGGGCGGGGGAGTTTTTGGATAGGGGTCATACCTTATTGACCAACGAGACAGAGTTTGAGTCGTGGCACTCTCCTTCAACATAGGAGCCACATGTACCAGTGGGAGTTCCGTAGCTAGCAAAGGTAACTGCAGTAATTTGAGTATTCATCGGGCATTTCAATTTAAGTGTGGGTTTTCCCATGCTCTTCTCAATTTCACCCTCTTGAAGTTGTTCAAGATCAAAGGAAGGGTGACCTTCTGAAACCTGAGCGCAGATGTTGGATACTTTGCGGCGAGAAAATTTAATTTTTGTAGGGTTTCCACCAATCTCTTCAAAGATCACCAAGATGTTACCAGAGGGCTTGAACCATGACCGCGGCACATGGTACCTAATTGCTCCCAAATCCAGACATGCGTAAAATGGCAAAGTTATTCCTGGTGTATGATAATATTGCTGGTAAAAGGATCATAATTTCATGTTCTCCAGGCATCATCATATCACACGTGGTCTTACCATCGTTGTGTCGGTTTTCCACAATCTGTGTTACACTTGTGAGGGGTAAATTTGCCTTTGTAGTTGCACTGATGAACACACTTGTCTTTTTTAGAGCTTTTCCTGAGCCAATACCTTCCGATTTCTTCTCCATTCAACCAAGCCATGCCTTTCCCCATATGGACCATGTCTAGGCCAACGGGTTCATCACCTGGTGGAGCATTAACCACAGCCTGTGATATCACAGCTGATCATATACCTTTTAACGCAATAACATAGTTAAAGGGTGACAGTTCTGCGGCGCATTATTCCCCACACATCTTACCTTATACCATATAAGGGGTTGTTCTTTAGGTGGTGCCGAAATTGGCACCCACATGTTACTGGTCAAGCCGTCTCCCTCGTATACTCTCAGACTTTCACCTCTTAATCCAATCTGAGAATTAAAATACATATGAAAGGGAAAAAAATATTAGGGCATTTTGCATCAAACATCTGGTGCCATGTTTCTTCTTGAAAAACTTGAAATATGTGCCTGAAGTTATCACTTCCTGGTGAGTTTCACAGTAATACTTTCATCCACTGAGTGAATAGAAATAATATGATGGCTGCCATTTTCTATCAACAAACTGTCATGGTCAAAGATCAGTTTCCAAGTAACAAATTTTCTTGAAATATGTAGTAAATGCTTGAAAAAATGCAGAGAAGTGTATGTAATTATCTGCAACTAGTGCAATGAATAGTGTGCAGTTGGAAAATGCAATATTCACAAAAGTGAACAGTTTGCACGTGAACTTTTATACGTGCGGATAGAATTTAGGATATGGAAAGAGTTGCTGGATTGGGAAATAATATGATGGATGCCATTTTCTATCAACAAACTATCATGGTCAAAGATCAGTTTCCAATTAACAAATTTTCTTTAAACGTATAGTAAATGCTTGAAAAAATGCATAAAAGTTTCTGTAATTATTTGCAACTACTGCATTGCATAGTGTGCAGTTGAAAATCCAATATTCGCAAAAATGAACGGTTTGCACGGAACTTCTATACATGCGGGACTAGGGAAGCAATGTGATATGGTCCCCGTACCACCGTGACCCGCCATCCCCTCACTACCCAGACAGGTAAAACTTTTGTACGGATAGAATTTAGGATAAGGAAAGGGTAGCTGGATTGGGCCATGAACCACATTAAAAAATTGAATCCAATCAATTACTAGTTCAACTCAAGAGCTTCTAAGCCAATTATTTTCTTCTTTATTTTGCGATGTGGGATACTCTAACACTCTCTCTCAAGTGGACAACCGGGTCATTTTGAATATAACCGGTTAGAATCAAATGGAGTCCCTTCCCCTCGAAACTAATTATGAAAATGTAGCGGCAATACCTATATTATAACCACAACTTACTGGGTATGAACTTCCAGACGAACAATTGGGTTAAATGGGCCACAGGGACAACTGGGCTAAAGACGTATGAGCTGCTAAGAATGAACGTCTAGACACCTTGACAAACGAAGTGAACCAAATACTATGATAGAATTTAGGATGGAGAAAGGGTTGCTGGATTAGGCCATAAGACACTTGGGTTGAACGACATTAAAAGATTGAATCCAATCGATTATTCGTTCAACTCAAGAGCTCATTAACCAATTATTTTCTTCTTTATTTTCCGATGTGGGATACTCAAACATACTTGCGCCCCCCTCCCCCCCATCCGTTTCAAGAACCGGAACTGGTATGACCGTGCGACTGGTTTTTGCCGGTTTCGACCTTTATGATCAAAGGTTGTTCAATAGGGTGTTTCAGACTGGTTCAGGCATTGGTCAAACTGGCTGGTACAGTTTTGGTAGGCAATTATTGGCTAGGACTCTGCATTGTGTCTGATTGTTTCTTATATTTTGGCCCTGCTTAAACGCAATTAGTCGCTAGGCTCCATTTCTACCGTCTAGATGCAACATGGCGCATTTTGGAACAATGAATGCATGTGTTAGCAATGAGGCAGGGCAGTGGAAGATATAGGATTCCCATACACATGGCTGGAAAGCCAAAAGGAGTACCTTGTACGTCCAAATGTTTGAAGACAAGTCAATCGTCCCATTCTTGAACCCTTCAACTTTTACACTTGTTAGACCTGCCCCAACCCATTCATAAAATGCGCCAGCATTCTACAATCAAACAAAAAAATAATTTATGGTTAATATAGAGAAACTACGTAACATTCACCAAGACAAGCCCAGCAATTTAAAGTTTGAGATATTCCAACTAGTAACCAGCTCAACACATATATGTCCATAATTGCCCTTATCATTTGAAGAACACCATTTGTTTAAATATGTCATCTGTTCCATAAAGATTTCCACATTTTCTTTTTTGTTTGTCTCAAAAAAAGATTCCATTTTCTAATTATGTTAAAAAATGTTGTGGACTACATTATTTCTCTCTTTTGCACCACTTTCAACCACATAATTTCACTTTTCTTATTCTATTGTGGAACCTTTTGTGAGACGGAGGGAGTATTTCATATGTCATGGCAGTCATGATACATGTCCAGGAAAGAGAGCCAAAATGATTTAGCAATAGCAGTATGTAGATCAATTACCCTTTAACTCTTTTTTTAAAGATAACTTTAAGTTGCCACAGCTTTTTGAACCATATCTGAAAATAAAGATCGGTTTTAAACTTTTCAAAAAAATAAATGTTTTAAATTAAAAAAAAAATTGGAAACTTACTTGTAAACCCATGGTCATGCTCAGTAATGAAATTTCATTCTTTCCCGCACTGAGAGAAATAGGAGTTCGCAGCTTAAAGGATGGAACGGTGCCATTTCCATATGAAGTAGCTGAAAAGAACAGCGCACAGAACAAGTAAAATTACTTCAGGGAATCTTGCGCACACATGAAATAAGGGCTTTTACAGATTAAATGAGTAAGAACAGTGTAGAAACTACTCAGATATATTGGAATTATGTATATAAAGTAAGAATTGTGGTTTGTGATTAAAAAATCATTTGAGTCTAGCATAAAAAAAAGTAAGGTGAAATCTTCACCTTGTAACAATTTATTGACGAAGACATGCAGAACATGGCCCTTTGATTCAACCTGAAGTATTGTGCTGCTTCCATTTATGACTGATTCCTCATCCCCATCAACAAATAGACTGCCAGTAACAGAAAGTTTTAAGATATCCATGGCAAATAAACTAATAAAAAGTGAGAAATATATTAAGACAACTTCCTTATTGACTGAATGAAACAAATTTCCATAAATTTAGTTCCTAAGCTACTCGTCTGGAAGTCGAAACAACCGGCAGTCATTGAGGTAACTTTAAGAATGAAAAGAAAAATGGGTAACATGCACTCAATTATTTTAAGTGCTTTGTGACCTTGATCAATCTAGACATCCTTGCTCAACAGCATTTGTAAAATCTAGCTCAGAACCTTACCCATACCTAAATGGTTAGCAAACCACTCTTAGCAAACTGCCAGAAGAGGCTCGCCAAACCAGAATTCAATTTTCATGCTCCTTTCTATTATATCATCTGCTTCATGTATGACCCATCAAATATGCATATGTTTGTGGCTTTCATGAGAATGTTATTTAATCAATTTCAAAGACAACCTAACCTTGTTGTGCACCACAGATAATCAGTAGTGTCTTTTGTAGTGTTGATGTGATCTACAAATCCCTTCTTTGTAAAATCAGCATCTCCCCAAATTCCAGCTGATTCCATAAAGACTTCCCACTGAAGATCTTTCAGTCCACTATGAGCTGATCCTGATGAAAAATGTAAATCTGATGGTATCATCTCCACTATAGAAGTTTGAGACCTGACCTGTTAAAATGATAAATTAGATGGTGACTAGTTAGGAAATAAATTAAACAATTTAGCATGTCTTGTGTTTGAGACCACCTTGGTGTACATATTTTAGCATATGACATGTAATTTAGGTATTGAAACAGTTCTTATTACCCATCAAGGTGATCAAACATTCATTTTTTATTCGCTTAGTACAAAAGAAAGTGATATCGAATTTCAGGTGCAATTACCAAAAAATAATGGGAGAAAAAAACTCTTTGTTGATGTTCACTATCACCTTACTAAACTTGGAAGTGTTAAATTAGATGGAATTTATCAATGAAGTCATTGTTCATCTGTAACTATTTAATACTATTCTGTCTTTGATGCTTAGTACAGGCTACAGACCACTCACTTTGGACATAAGTAATGAGTCAATGACTAGTGTTCTCTGGGCTTTTTACTGAATACATAAAGTACTTTCTGAAGAAAACACTTCAAGAGGGTAGGACTACAACTGTACCACACTACATGAACAAAACTACTCATCAACTGTACCACACTACTCTTTCAGATAGTATTGCCATTTTGGAGATTCAACCACTCTTTAAACCTTCTATAATAAATGGTGAAACCATACATTGTAGAAATGGAATGTTGCATTTATAGTGCACAACATATATGTTTAATGTTTGGGAAGTGACAATGGAAACTGGAGAGACAGACAGCTGGTTTCGAGAAGCAACTATACCCTTGGCATATGATACACACACAAAGGCATGACGAAATGACCTCAGGCCTACCCCCACTTGACTGGCCCAAATCTCCTATTGTTAACCATATTCACATTGTAAATCATAAACCAATTACCAATCAAAAGTTCATTTACCCTTCAAATGGGGATTTTTTTTTATAAATGAAAAAAGAAAAAAAAAAGAAATAATACTCACAAAAACTACACCAATAGTAACCTGTTTTAAAATTGTTTTATGTATGAATATTAAGGAATACCTTTGCCGTGTTGAATACCACATTCTTGCAGTCAGGCAAAATGCTAACAGACCATGCAGGCAGATTGTACTGCATATTCCGGAACACTACCACCTTATCAGTCTTGTTATCTGCATTAGAAAGGAAAGCTGCACATTCTCCTCTTGATGCATTTTCATAGACATCTGCCTATTATAAAACAGTAGTTTTTCAGTGAGGGGAACTTCTATCCTACAGCAGTGGGTACATGAATAATATAAAACTACTTATCAACAGAGTCTTATATGTTCACTAACCAAAAATGAAATTGTCACTAAATAGATTGCAATTACACAGCAAAAATAAGGTATGTGCACAGTAACCACAAATGAGTTGCTCACTAAGTGCATGGCATTACAAATCAAAGAAAACTTGTATGCTAACTAATGAAAATGTAACTGCTCACTAATTCATTGTGGATGTACACTACTCATGCAATGATGCAACTATGGTTGTAAAGTATATTAACTCTTCAGTGAGCTTACATTAATAATACAAGTAGATAAAAAATAAAGCTTGAGTTGGAAAATAAAAATGCAATATA